TCTGGTGCAAATTACTGACCTCTGTCATCATTTTAGGTGGGGGAACTTGCACAATCGGTGGCTGACTAAATACTTTTTTGCCCCACTGTAAGTTATGTTGGCTTTTTAACTCTGAAGTGTTTGCAGACAAAAAAGGAAGGCCTGATTGTCCTTTGATAAGATCTGAGATTTAAAGTGTCAGCAAGATGTTCTAAAGGCACATTTAAAAGGCTGCATTTGCAACTGACATTTTCAGTTAGGTATGTGAAATAATAATGTGTCTTTCAGGCTGCTGCTGTAACAAAGCAGGCTGTACTGCTGTCATGTTGTATATAAATGTATTGTCTGCTAATCCAGTTTTTCCTCTTTTGTATTTTTTCCCTTAATACTTCTGCTTTGAAGACAGAGCTTTCTTGCTTTTTACAGAAGGGTAAACAGCTCGAACAGCTTTAATGCTCCTTACCATTGACTCACCAAGTCTGTTGAAATGTACTGTGTGGATGAAACGCCATTCTTCCAAATGAATTTCCCACATTTGGTGTTTTGATAGTGATATTGGAGATTGCTGTTTAACACATCGGTCCAAGATTTCCCAGAGGTGTTCAGTTGTTGGAGCATGACATGTGATTCACATCATTTCAAAACTTATCAAACCAATCAGTGGCACCTTTATCCCTATGGAGACCATTTCCATCAGTAAAGAAATATTTCATCATATGAAAAAGTTGAAAATCTTTATATTAATTTGTTACACTTCCCACTCAGGGGACACAAACTATACCATCAGAATGTATGAACATGTATATTTGTTTATGGATGGTGTGAATAAGTATTCAATCGGAATTTGTTTTTCTATAAATGGCGGAATCTGTTTTTAAGTTTTTTAAATTTAGATGGTTCATGAGCATCTTTTTAAAGCTGTTTTTATATCCATAGCCCCACCCGCCTTCACTGAACCCCCACCTCCTGTCCTCGAGGCTTTGGTTGGAAGTCACATTTCTCTTTCCTGCATGACTAATGGCAACCCTACTCCAGCCATCACTTGGTTTAAAGACGGCATTGCCATTCAAAAAAATATTTCTGAGGTATGTATTTTTTAAGGGGTTTTAAGCCTGCAATACAAGTATAGAGCTATAGTTGTTACATGCATGGGGTGAAATAAATAAACAATATTTTCCTCGAAAATAATACAGTATATAGTAGTACTCTCTCTTTTTTTTTTTCAACCCTCAGCAGTTGGCTGCACCTTTCTGAGCCTGGTTCTACTGGAGGTTTCTTCCTTTTTAAAAGGGAGTTTTTAAAAGGGAGCCATCTGATTATTGGGATTTTCTCTATATTATTGTAGGGTCTTTACCTTACTAGTGACTTGAGTTGATTGTTGTTGTGATAAATAAAAGTGCATTGAACTGCATAGTGTTCATGCACTGCAATACATACAAAGTTTGGGTAACACTGCACAAATGTATCCAAGATGCTTTAAAATCAGCCTCAGTTCAAATGCCCATCCATCCATCCATCCATCCAAGTTGACACAGCAGTGTTGATGCAAAGTGGCACACGAATAAGTTCTAGAAAAGTCCTTGGAAGGAAAACAAAGGTGCTTTTGACACAAGCACCAAATCTGTTATTACTCCTACCTGTTGAAATATTGTGGCACTGGATCCATTGTGTGGATACATGTGAAGTATGCACGTAGGAAGTGAAGATTCTACTATATTACTATTCTACTATCAGCTGGATGCAAATGTCATACAGTACTAAATACTGACATTATACTGTAGGATGCCAATGCTTTTGCACAGGCTACAATTGCTGCTACCTATTGTACTTTCTGTGTGTGTGTACCTGCCTGCTGCATTCAGCCACCTCTTTGTTTTTTTACTATGTCATATTTATCAGGATGGAGTTTTATCTCTGCGAGCAGTGAGTATACATTCAGCAGGACAGTACACTTGCCACGCCTCCAACTCTGAGGGGAACGTGACTTGCGTGACAAAAGTGAAGATCAAAGGTCAGTTGTTGCCTAACAGTCTGTCTGTCTGTCTTTCTGCCTGCCAATTCCTTTAGTTTCTGTGATGTCTGTGTGCCCAACTGGCTTGAAGCCACCATAATTTACATTTCTGTTTCTTGCCCTTGCATCATGCAACAGAGCGGTAAAAGAAGTTCAAACTGAACTTGACTGGTATTTAGCCACGCAGTGACTAAATAAGAGTCAATATCATGATGTGAGACAAGATATCATCTGGGACTTGCCGATGTTGCTTTATCGTGATAAAGCTTTGTGTTTTGCTCAGTGTGAAGGCTTCATTTTAGAGAAGTTGATGCAACTTAGTGAAAAGTTTATTGTCTGTGGTCATGAATATATGTGTGTGTGTATATATATATATATATATATATATATGATGTATTGTATTGCTGTTATTTTTGTCATTTGCATTCCTGTCTCTCAGCCCTTATAGGCGAGGTGCTTCGCGTTTGTGTTATATATATATATTATATAAATATATATATAGTATATATATATTATATAACTTATACTGTTAACTTATATATAATTAAAATTATTGTGTATTATCATTAGTGTATAGGATATGTTGTATAATATATTGATATATATCTGTGGTATTTTTACTATACCCAATAAATAATTTAAGAAAAATCTGACTATTACATACATACATCCATACATACTACTACATACATACATAAGAGAACAGCACCACCAAGGCTGGAGACGGAGCAATACTGGAAGAGCATATGGGAGAAGGACGCAACCCATAACGGCAATGCTCAGTGGCTAGTGGATCTGAGGGCAGACCACAGCGACCTCCCTGAACAGGGTCCAGTAACCATCACAGTGGCAGATATCCAAGAAAGGGTCTCCAGTATGAAGAGTTGGACAGCACCAGGGCCCGACATGGTTCACGCCTACTGGCTAAAGAAGCTGACTGCACTCCACGAGCGTCTGGCAGCACAAATGAACCAGCTGCTAGTTAACGAGAGACACCCGGAATGGCTAACCGAAGGTCGGACGGTCCTGATCCTCAAGGACCCCAAGAAGGGACCGGTCCCCTCCAACTACCGACCAATAACCTGCCTCAGTACTACATGGAAGCTCCTGTCAGGCATCATATCGGCTAAGATGAACAGGCACATGGGTCAATACATGAGTGGGACACAGAAAGGAATTGGCAAGAATACCAGAGGCGCAAAACACCAGCTACTGGTAGACAGAACAGTCAGCCGAGACTGCAAGACCAAACTGACTGCCTGGAGAATTGATTACAAGAGGCCGAAACACCAAGCTAACTGGTAGATCCAGAACAGTCAGCTAGAGACATGCAGAGACTAGACTGACCCCCAAACCTGTGCACTGCCCACTGTGATTTTGAATATTACAAGATAGGCCTGATTGCAGTCAATGCCCCACACTCTGAATATCTGGAAGCGCTAGACACAGATCTGGTACAAGATAAATTGGGAACCATATTCAACTAACGAGTCTCTTTTACACTCACTATGTGAACAACTCATGGAGCCGACTAATTAGACGGATGACAACACAGAATCACTACCCGGCCACCACTCCAAGCCTAGGAACAAGCACCATCAAGCTTGTGGCGCACTTCTTCATTACTCTCTAATAGTTCTGATTTACAAGAGAAAGTAGCTCTGATTCCACCACACACTGCTGTATCCCTCTGTGGCAATTATCAGAAAATTACAACCCCCTCGTCTCATCTAATGAACCAATGCTCTCCCTACACGCTGAGAATCATAACAAGGCTGGCTTAAACGGCAGAATACGATCTATACTGGGAAACTTGGACCGTGCACTGCAATACTTGTTACCAGAGCAACACATCTTTGATCTCGATGAGAAATAAGAATTCTATAAATACGATACATGAGCAATTATACATGAATGTTATATAGTGAACAAAAGTGGCTATTAGCTATTTCAACACGTGTATAATCCCTTCGAAGATAATGCTCTACCTTTCAGATATACACTGAATTATCCCACAATATGCACATCACCTCTTTCAAGAGGAGTCACTTACCTACAGCATGCTTCAAGACTACAATCATGTTTATGATTTTGGATTGGATTCATAGCATCGATTTTCGACTGTGAATGAAAGTCTCATTTAGTTTATATCCTAAAGAATTAAGTGAGTATGATAGTCAACAAAAGAGGGAAGTCAAGTAAGTAACGAGAAACTGAGGGGAGTATCTGACACTTCATACCACTGCCGACAAGTGTCACTATCAATTCCTGAGCACAGTACATAAGGATGTTATCAGATAAAGTACTTATAGTCACTGATATGATCTTATCTGGGTGATTTCTCTCCCACTCGCTCCAAGTGTGTCAGACACTTCCTCTTGTCACTTTGCGAATTGGTCAACAGACACGGAGGCTAGCTGGAGATCCTCGAGTTGCTTCTGCCTCAGCCGCCTACACGAGATTACACTAATATTGTAGAGGGTTTCATGAGAGGCAACTCTCCTGAAGGAGAGTCCAAGTCGTGACATAGTGGTAAACAAAGCCATGTCCGGCTCCGTCAAACTCCTTGGGTAATACGTACGTTAGTCTGCTAATGACGGTAGAACAAGATCCGGGCCATCAACACGTACGCCCTGCCCGTGATCAGGTACCCTGCTGGGGTAATAGGCTGGCCAAAGGAGGAGATAGAAGCCACTGACATAAAGACAAGAAAGCTCCTTACCATGCATGGAGGGTTTCACCCCAAGTCCAGCACCCTGAGGCTGTACGCTAAGCGGAAGGAAGGGGGCCGGGGACTGGTGAGTGTCAGCACCACAGTCCAGGATGAGACAACGAACATCCAAGAATACATTGGGAAGATGGCCCCAACTGACCGAGTGCTCAGTGAATACCTCAGGCAGCAGAAACCCAAGAAAGAGGAGGGAGACGAGGAACCATCATGGAAGGACAGGCCCCTGCACGGTATGTACCACCGGCAGATAGAGGAGGTGGCTGATATCCAGAAATCCTACCAGTGGCTGGACAAAGCTGGACTGAAAGACAGCACAGAGGCACTAATCATGGCAGCACATTGCTGGATGGAGCATGGAGGCAGAATAGGTGTAGGTCGTTCTAGAGTACAACAGGAGTATATACGCTATCGCACGAGTGGATGTGACAAAAGTGTTCATGGACTGCTAATAGCAGGCGAGACAAAGTTTTGTTATGTCGCAGACAAATGAGTAGGACATGTCACAAAAAGCATGCACAGTCTTCCGTCGCAACAAGACGACTGTTAGCACTCACTTAGAGGTCTGGGGCTGTTAGTGGCAGCGATCCGCTCCTAGTCCTTACTCAGTTTGCACACCCCCTAGAGGTGCGCTGTCGCTAAAGATGCCAGACCTCAGAGGTGGAAACAATCCAGTCATCCATACAATATGCAGAGCGTTCGCTCAAGATGCTTGATGCTAGTGGTTCATACGGCAATACCCTGGTGAAATGAACAGTCCCACTATTCCTCAAGTCGAGCCTGCTGTTCTACGAAAGTGGGCTCCCCGGCATAAGCTTGCTCATTGCGCAAAACAATACTTGGGCGAGGATTATAAGCCTCTTGGATCCAGTTCTCCTCACATGGGGTCATATAATATGGAGAATGCCCGGTTTTCTCCTAAGAGTTTGCGTGTAGTAATTTGTGACTCGCAGAGCACTACAAGTATCCTGGACATTGTGAGAGCTTAACTCATGCCATTTACGTATGCGTTAACTGTACAAAATTACGTGTTTGTTCGCTAATCTATCTACAGCCAGACACGAGTATGGGTGCGAGTAGACAAACATGGAGATGTAACGCCGTAGTAGGTGAGTAAATGGATATAATATATCTCCTGCCGAGATTCCTCGTGTGTTAATCCGACTCTATCGCTAATACATCCGTTATGAAGGCACACTCAGGTACAGCACTATAAACATGGTAGGAGATCACAATAAATAGATACAGAGAAAAACCCAACAATCATATGACCCCCTATGAGCAGCACTTTGGCGACAGTGGGAAGGAAAAACTCCCTTTTAACAGGAAGAAACCTCCGGCAGAACCAGGCTCAGGGAGGGGCGGGGCCATCTGCTGTGACCGGTTGGGGTGAGAGAAGGAAGACAGGATAAAGACATGCTGTGGAAGAGAGACAGAGATTAATAACAGATATGATTCAATGCAGAGAGGTCTGTTAACACATAGTGAGTGATGATGAAACACTCAGTGCATCATGGGAATCCCCGGCAGCCTACGTCTATTGCAGCATAACTAAGGGAGGATTCAGGGTCACCTGGTCCAGCCCTAACTATATGCTTTAGCAAGAAAAAGCAGCGCACATTTCGGTGCTTTATTTCGGTGCTTTTTTTCCTGAGCTGTGATACACTTCTAGCCAATCATTTTACGTTTCCGAGGATAGTAGGCGGGGCCAGGTACGTACGTTCTTTTATGCAGAGCTACAGATTAAAAATGTCCAAGGCGAAGCGGTCAAAAGTCTGGCTGTACTTCACAGCAAAATATGCAAACTCAGCAGCCTGCAACAAGTGCTTTAAGCTGATACTGTGATACTGTCAAAGGAGGTAACACCTCGAATCCGATGAAACACCTGGCGACGCATAGCGTTTTTTTTTTAAAAGCCGAGAAATGCGCCGTATTTGATAGCTTGCTGCGAGACCTCACACCGAGCACATCTACTGCGGGTGGGTTGCCTGTTATCGGACCCGGAGTTAGCAACATCCCCCAAAAACCCGAAGAGGAGAGTCCTGGCCCCTAGCCCTGCCAGTGTAGCAGAAATGATGACGGATGATGATGCAGCAGCAGCCGTTCTTCTCTGCGTGAGTAGCTTAATGTTGTTCGTGTGTAATTTACGTTGAGTAGGCTAACCACGTTATTACATTAATGCATGTAAGGTGAACTAGCAAACATCCAAATCCAATCCAATCCAATTTTATTTATAAAGCACTTTAAAATACCCAGCACAGGAACAAAGTGC